CTCATTTCTGAATCGATCTTCCACAGCCACATCTAAACCCCTTCTTTTTCTCACTCTGAAACCTCTCCTGTGTACCAAACCCAGCCCATTCACCTCAGTACAAGCACCCAGGGCCATAGCAGTCACTTGGAAAAAAACAAACAAACAAAAACTGATAAAGCAAGAAAAAACACTGAGCAAGGAGGGAGGCTGAATTAATAGATCTGTACCTGTTGTCCCTGTTGCACCACAGAAGCAAAACTCCCTGCGTGGAGTCCAAAGCCTCTTTCTACAAGGGGAGTTCCTAATTAGGAGTCCCCAATTACCCCTTTTGCCTGTTGACCACCTGGGCAGCCAAGTGGTAGGAGCCGGCAGTAGGTGAGTCCCACATCCTCCCAGGCCGTTCCAACTACCACTAGATAATATTTTTGAGATGACTGCTTGCAAAAGCACTTCCAGTATGGCTTAAGAAAGCCAGCTGTGTTCTGGAAATAAAAATGGATTTTTCTTATAAAGTACTTGGAAGTAATCAGATTACAACCACAAAATACATGACAATTGCCATTAACAAAGTTATGGGCATACCAAAAACATGTCTTAAAATTACAAAAATGTTTGTTCACTGCCATGGTCCTCTAGCACTGGAAATATGTATGTTCTCTCTAATCCATTTCTGCCAGTTTTATGATTTTGAAGGAGTGCCAGCTATTTCTTCAGAATTTATGGCCTGGAGCACTGCTAACGAGCACAAGGGGATACAGCTGGCAATCAGGGGCTAGAGACAGGTGACTTTGGTGTCTTCATTAGCAACTGAGCTGGGGGAGGCAAAGGGGTCAGGAGTTCAGATACCCCCTTTTGACCACATCTGAGTTTTTAAATATTCTCTTGGCAATATATTTGGCTCCATTATTTTTATTTTGAATGAATGACCAGTAAGTCTGGATGATGTAACTACACTGAATCGGAGCATGGTTTTGGGGTTTTTTTGTTCTGTTTTCTCAACAGCTTATGCACAGAGGCTATAGAATTTTATTATTAGACCACACTTCCATGTTTGGAATAAGAAATAATAAATGCAACTCTGTTCGAGTTTGGAGTAAACAGAAAAGAAAGAGAGTGAAAATTATATCACAGAACCATAGAATGGTTTGGGTTGGAAGGGACCTCAAAGATAATCTAGTTCCAACCCTCCTGCCATCAGCAGGGACACCTTCCACTAGATCAGGTTGCTCAAAGCCTCATCCAACCTGGCCTTAAACACTTCCAGGGAGGGGGCATCCACAGCTTCTCTGGGAAACCTGTTCCAGTGTCTCACCACCCTCACAGACAAGAATTTCTTCCTAATATCTAATCTAAACGTACCCTCTTTCAGCTTAAAGCCATTTTACCTTGTTCTATCACTACCTGCATATCTTTCCAAGTAAAACAAAAGCGAATTAATAATTGCTAATTAAGAACAATTATTAGTGGATAAACTAAATAATAACTTGCATAAAAGTAATTAATTAGTACTATGCCACACTCTTAAGGGAAAAAGAAACGTTAACAGTGGAATGCCTACTTTAGCTTTACCTGTGCCTCATCTCTTAAAGAAATTGCAGTCAAAAAAATGGTCTCGGGGAAGCGGTGGAGGGCTCCAGAGAAAGACCCAGTAGCAGTTCAAGCTAAGTTTTGGAGTTGTTGGGGTTTTTTTTTCTTAATAAAAATATGCCTGATGCGACTACTGTAATATGAGCATTTACATGTGTACTTAGAATGGGACTGTTCATGCTAAAAAGTATATTCCCGATTGCTTGTTTGGTTGCATGAACAGTTTTAAATGTTTTAAAAACTGATTTTAATGAAGAAAATATCTTTTTTTTTTTTTTCCAAAATAAAGAAGCCAAATAAACCAGAACATTCCTTAAATACCAAAGACTCAGAAACTTAGTTATTTTCTATGTATTTTCTGACACAAATCTGGAGTAAGATTGTTCCTCCAATACCTGAATTTTCAATCTAAATAGCTTTGATTTTACAGAGCTGTTCCTGCAAAGCCTCTCTTGAAATAATTTTCAGAATCATAACATGTTCAACATTTGTAATCCAAAAATAATGCAGGAAATCTACTTGAATCTGGCTGTTAAGCAATGTATTCATTAGCTTTAATTTCATTGTTCAAAAGAAACTTATTAAAAGAATAAACAACCAATAGTCAGAAGTATTTCATTTTCTCAATGTCTTTCTATTTTCAGTATCTATACTGCCAATCCATAAATAAGACTGTATGAGTAGGGGATCAGAGCTTTACATATAGATTTTGAGAAGTTATTTTCCTTTTCTGCACAGCGGTCTCCATGTCATGCTATGTGCTGTCAACAGTAAATGGAAACCCAGGCCACTTTAAGAGATTGCATTTCTCAGTCTTTAGACAAGAACTCCTGTTTCCAGACCCTCAATAAATTGCTATCCAAAATGCATTGAAAGTGTTTTCAGTTCAAATTTCCTACAAAAGGGGTTCAAGGCCTTTCCCATTAAGTAATAAATCAGTTGCTAGGCAATACAGCTTTTGTACACATCACTACATAAAGCATCATTATTTAGTTAGTCAGCTGCCAGCAATAATATTTTTTATAAGATGTATCCTAAGAGACAAGAGGAAGTAAACGCCATTTGTTTCCATAAAAGAGCATCCTTTTTATAAATGGTTGGAGAATTGTCACAACAAAACACAGTAGGCACTTTTTGAAAGGCTTTACAGAGACGTGCTGAGGAATATGCCTCCATGCTCCCTGAACCAAGACGAGAAGAGACTATCCTGTCCCACTCTGCGCTGAGCAGTAAAGAGCAAGCTACCACAGCACCATTTCCATGCTCAGCTATGCGGGCCTTTACCTTGGGATAAAACAGAGTTCTTCTCTCTTAAGAACTTGAACATAAACTCAGCAATGTTTTCTTCTTCATCCCTCTAAAGGTCACACCTGAAACATTTCTCTTCACTGGGAAAGTCTAGAAAAGCTTCAAGCATCATGTTTGAAGCTACAATTTTAGCATCTTAAAATTCTGCTACTGTCTGCTGGGAGGAATATACGATTTTGGAGGAAAGGTAGATTTCTCCCTGATGTCTTTTGACAGCAGATCCTTGTCTTTGTAGTTACAGAATCTTTTTCACAGACAGAATTTATAACCGTTGGAAGAGTACTGCTAAAGGAATACAGGGAAGTGGCTGAATGCCAAGCCACAAGAAATTAAGTTTCAGTAAACATTTAAGGAATATAATTTATGAGTAAACCGCTTACTTGGCAATTAACTGAACTCTACAACTTTGCCCAATTATCTCTAAAAAATTAAATTTTTTGTTTTCCTTCTGTATAACAGATTAAGTTCTCTTAATCTGATTAAGAGCAATACACACATTTGATATCAAAGCATAGAAAAAATAGGATGTATTTCAGTGTGCTGATTATGCTAATCTGTGGAAAACAGCACAATTTCAGAGAACTGAAATTCATGTAAATATGCTGGGTACAAACAAAAAATTGTCCTAAAATATTATTGTAAAAATAGTTTTTTAGTTTTCATACTTAAAAAACAAAATTTTGTTTATAAAAAGACAAAGCACTTTCTGGACATTTTTTTCAACATCTCTTTGACTGATACACCAACACAGAGAATGTACTAAATAGTCACTTAGGGATAATTCACAAATATTACAGACGCCTTTTTAAAAGCAAGTTGCTGTTCTCAAAATCTGTCAGCTTAAGTGAGCTCACAACAAAGGGGGAGAATCTGATCCAATCTTCTGCATCTCTTCTGAAAGGTCTGTCACGCTGCAATGCCAAGCATTTTTCCTATTATGGTTTCTGATTTGCAGTATAAAAAAAAAATAAAAAAATCATAGTTTTAATTTCAGACTGTTTCCTCTTTTTGAAAGTCTCCAGCACATTCAGAACATTCAACGTCTGGCAACAAATTACCATACTTTTGTTTGATTATGTATTTGTACATTAAGAACTGTGTCAGGAAGGTGACAGTGGTAAGTGCTCCTCCTGATACATGATGAGCAGAACCACTAGTTGATTGGTATAAACCGTTATTATTACCAGGAGGCAACCCTGATACTGTTTCTTCTTGCTGTCCTCCCAACCACGACAGGCATTTGCAGCTGTAGCTGAATGAAGGAAGCCACAAAGAGCAGAACGTGCAACCACAGCGAGAGTGCTTCTTCAGCAGAGGTGCTGACCAGAACTCTTACACACTGCATGCCACCTCTTTCCTGGTTTATGCAAATCAGGAAGACCTGCAGGTAGACTCATATGCATATTCAAGCTGGTAAATCTGCCTAAATTTCTTTATGTTCATATGGTAAGTCCTTTATTTCTTAAAAGTTCTCCAAAACAGTCTGGGAAAACATCTGTCTCATTCCTTGCTATGGAAAGGCTTCTCTAGTATCAGTTGTTCCAGCCCCCTCTGGAACAAGTATGTTCATTGT